CAATTAACTCGTCCATTCTCCTGTTGATGGACATTAGGGATGTTTTCCAGTTTGGGCTATTATTTATAAAGTTACTGTGAAAATTCTTCTACAAGTCTTTGTGCACATTTGTCTTTTGTTTTGCATATTTCAGAAGTGAAATTTCAACAGGCTCATCGGGCATATGAATGTTAAACTTTACTAGAATCTGCCAACAGTTGCCAAAGTGGTTTTAGCAGCAATGTATGAGAATGCTAAAATCTACATCTTTGATGTAGATTTGTTAAGGTGAGTCCTTTTTATTTTAGCCATTCTTCTCAGTGTGTATCTTATATTATTTTAATTTGTATTGCTCTGATAGGAAATAATTTTGAACTATATGTTTATTGTTGGCACAAGGATTTTTATTTCAGGTAATTTTAATTTTTTTTTCAGTTTACTTCTTATTTGTTGGTCTTTACTATTTTTCTACTTCTTCTTGAGTATTTTAATAATCTATTTAGATATTAAATATCTTCCCTACGGCAGTTCACATACACTTTGTCTCATGACATTGACTGTAATCTCCCACAATGCAACAGCACCCCTCCTACTTCCTCCCCATAGCCACCTCTTTCCTGTGTCCTTCCCTCCCATATATTCCTGCCCCCAGCCATCTCCCTGTGCATACACAGCCCTTCTATTCTCCCTTGACTGATCTCTCCAAGGAGTGTATCTACCTAATGCAAATGTTCAGCTCATATGCCTGTCTTTTGTTTGGCTGGAAACTATAGGAGTGGGTTCAGTTCCAGACTTGAAGGGCAACTTGGGGCATAGCCTCGGGTTCTACCAGACCAGCAAACCTGGTCCCTCCTTTTTTTTTTTTTTTTTTATGATTTTGAGTTTTGTTCCACATTGTTACCCAGGATCTCCCTGCACAGATCTTCCTCTAAGTGGTTGACAGTGGTGGCAGGGTGCCATCTAGTTCTTCTGGTCTCATAGTTGTGTAGGCTGAGGATCACATGTGTGATATTCTGTATGTTCTTAAGCCAATTTTTGCCATTTGTATTTGCTTAGAAAAGTGACCCATCCAGATTTTCAAATTTATTTGAGAAATTCTAGAAAAATTTAGAAATCTGCATTTAGGATTACATCCTTTTTCTTGTCCTGACATGCTAAATTTTGTATTTATTTTTTTTTAAATTGGATTTCCCAGCTTTGTCTATTTTGTTGGTCTTTTGAAAGAAATAGCTCTCAAGTTATTTGATCAATTTTTACCATTTTTCTAATTTATTTATTCATTTTTAATTTTAATTTAATTTTTTAAATTATTATT